ACCTCTTAGAATCGTTAAGAGGATTAAGTGAAAGAAAGCAGGAGATAGACTCCACACGGCACCAGACGGTGGTAGTCACCCTTGTTTCCTGTGTGTCTCCAGTATGCAGGAGTGAAGACATAGCTAGTCTTACTTGAAATTGCTATTTATAACATGAATATATATCCATTCTCTCATATGCTTGTTAATTGTAATGAGAATCTCCCTTGAGATCTGAGCATTTTATGAAGGTGTAGAATATAGAAAAGTAACTTCCACTGTACTGGCCAGAGTGATCCCTTGCTTCCTCGCTGAGAGGGAAACATTTTCTTTCCCTCTTTTTTCACATCCTTCTCACAAGAATCCTGTAATCTGTGACACGTACAGGGGTGCGCGCTCGCATCCTGACCCCTCCAGCAAATTAGAACCTGGATGAGAAGCGCAGTGCCCCTGGCTTCTGAAGACACAAGCCTGAGCCACCTGGTACTGCCCTGCGCTGTCCTGGCAGCATCCACACTCACAACCTGCCCTGCTCCCCTCCCGGAGCCAGGCTAACGGGAGAAGGGTGTCGCAGTACAGGCCACTGAAAGTCTGAGGTCCATCCGTGAAAGCAACGGCTCCAACCACCTGTTACTTTTTGTTTTCCCAGAACCTGGCATGGTGTGCCCAGAACTGCATCTTAACCTTTGACCCCCCAGAACTATCACGGGCAGCTGGTGTTGGTACAGTGGGTGGACAGGCACAGCAGGTCCGGCTGAGGCGAGGGCACGAAACTCTTTTGCATGTTCTTAAGAAAAGAGATGTTCTGGTGCCAATCACAATATCAGTTTTTGTTTCGGACAATCAGGGTTTATCCTGAGTGCTGGGTTTTCTCGGTGGGGTGAGGAAGGCTCACCCCTGGGTTTTCTGCTATAGGGAGAGGTTTCTAGTCCTTTAGCCCAGAGAAGAGAGGAGGATTTTGTTCCCAGGGGACATTTAGGAATGTCTGGAGACATTCATGGTTATCCCTTCTCAAGGGAGGGTGCTGGTGGGTGGAAGCTCACAACAGAATCTATTGGCCCAAAATGTCAATAATGCCAAGGTTGAGAACCTCTGCTTTAGTCTAATGATTCTGTGGCAAAATCAGCAAGTGTGGGCCCTCCTGGTATTTATTTGGCAAGTTCTTAATCTGCAGGGTTTCTCTGACTGTGAACTGAGTCTTAAGGACTGGAATAAGGAAAGGCCGACTTCTCCCTCCCAGACGGCCTACCCCGAGAGTGCTGCTTCGGGGAGAGCTGTCAGAACGCACTGCTCCTCACCCTAACCAGAATTCGCGTCCGAGTTAAGTGTCTAGATCAGAGTGCCTGGACAGCAGGTGTGCTAGGATTTGCATGTGCTGAAGATCAGACTGAAGTGAAATGCGTTGCTTTGTTCATAAAAACTAAAGACAGCTGCTACATGGCAGATGGCAAATTGAGTCTGAACTCTTCAGGGGTGGCCAGAAACCCCCTGGCCAGTGACCTCTCCTGCAGCAGGGTTCTTTCCTCTTGCAGCTACCTGGCACAAAGGCTTCTTTCTTTTCACCACACTTCCTGTCCCCTCTCCCATCCTCAGTGCCACTCCCAGCTTTCGTGGGTTTGCCAAGGCTTCGAGTTTCAGTCTTTCGGAATTATCTAATTCACGCTGTTCTTCCTTTCATGGGATTCAGGATGACCACAAACTCAGCAGTGAGGAACTGGAAATGAAATATGGTACAAACATCACTACGGTAAGTCATCAGAGAACTCATGATGGGAGAGAATCCCCGTGGCTATACAAAGGAGAAGGCTGTGGAGGGTGGGGGTCCAGAACACAGCACCTCCAGGATGAGTGGCCTGCGGCTGCAGCTGTGAGAATCCCCCGTGCCCACCGCCGTGCGGAAGGGGGCAGCCTCCAGAGCCGGCCGAGCCCCCTGCTGAGCCTGCGCTGGGTCATTGAGGGGTCTCTGTGACTGTCGGAAAGCTGTGGGAGCCCCAAAGGTTCAGAC